TCTCTCTCTCTCTCTCTCTCTCTCTCTCTCTCTCTCTCTCTCTCTGGACCCTTAAGATCAGAGGAGCTGTCACAGCACCCCCAAAGAAAAAGGTATTTCTGTCTCTTGTATGGTTATTTGGCACAGCCCAATTAGCCCAGGTCCCCTGGAGTGACCCTGAGGGTTTTAGTCGCGAGCAACGCGGCAAATGGCGTCTCTGGGTGGGCAAAAGTTCTGAGTGTTTAAGTCGCCAGGAACCCAACATGACCTCACCAGTAGATGAGTCCATCATGGTTCATAACTGAAGGGACCATTGGACGGTCCATTTTGAAAGGGTAGGAGGTGGGCCTACCTGGGGAAGCTCACCGGGTGTCCTGGCGGGTAGATCTCGTTCCTGGGTGGGTCTCGTTCCTGCCCTTTCCTTGCTTCAATCTCTGCTTCCCAGCTGCCATGCATGAGCAGCTGTGTTCTGCCACATGATCCCAGAGGTGACATTCTACTTCACCACAGGCCCAAACATTGCAGGAGGGGCCAGCAACCATGGACTGAGACCATGAGCCAAAGTCAATGTCTCCTCCTTTGTTGGTTTTCTCACTATTTTGTCACAGTGTGAAAGTTGACTAACATAGATGAAATGGACCGACTTCTTGGCAATCTTCCAAAACGCATGCAAGAAGAAATAGAAGATCTGAATAACCCTGTATCTAGGGATTGAATCAAGGATGAATAACATGGTCTGTGGCTATAGCTCAGTGGTAGAACACTTGCCTTACACATATGAGGCACTGGGTTCGATCCTCAGCACCATATAAAAATAAATAAATAAAATAAAGGTATTGTGTCCATCTACAACTAAATTTTTTTTTTAAAAAAAAGGATGAATAATCTTTTAAAACAGAAAGCATCAGACTCATATGGGTTCACTGGTGAATTCTACCAAACACTTAAGAAATAAATTATGACAATTAACTAAAATCTCTTTCTAAAGAATAGAAGCAGAAAAAATACCTCCTGATTTTTTTTTTTAACACCTTAGCCTCCCCAGGGTTGGAGCTTCAGGTACACACCA